CTTCATTTTAAAAGGTGTTAAGTGAAATGTAACATTAGTTTGTTGGTCTGCTCAGAAAGACAGATCTCTACACCTGTTGCTGATGAGGAGTTGGACCGTATTGTAAGCGAAGTCCACAGAAGTGTCCAAACACCGGCTACAAGCTAATGCGTGGACATTTGAATGCTAGAGGTGTGCGTGTTCCAAGTGAGTATGATCCGAGCCCAATATGAATAAATATAAATAACCATGAACTAGGCGCAAGGTCAATGAGAATATATATTGTTAAGGTAAGGCTCATGTATGTGTGTATTCTTTTGCAACGTAGCGGCTGATATATCTGAAACTCATTTCCAGGGTAAATCCAGATTTGTATCCTGTTATTATGAAGTTTTATATATCATGTTGATGATAGATAAGGTGAACTCTGGTCATTTTTGAGACTGTGGTGGTTTTGTACTGGATTTACAAATTCAAACATTCGATATCAAACATGAAGTTAATCGAGGTTGTGTCGTTTTAAAACATGTGGTATCCAAGGCGTGAACATTTTGATGACCTGAATTTTTTTTTTTTATCCAGGAGCTAAATGTTGCTGATGATCCATGGTGTTGCCATTTATTATTATTTATTTATTAACACCCTAACACTATCAAAATACTTCTAAATATTTGAAACTCTGGTATTTTTTTCCAGTATTTCTCAGTTAGATTTTTAAGTGTTTTTTTAAATAAATAGCAAATGAGTGTATGATTATTTTCTGCTCTAAAGTCTCAAGACTGAGAGTCTTTGCACAGAGTGGATGCTGAGGGAGTGTACATGAGACGTCTACGGCTGCATGTAACAAGACGACGGCAGTATTCTGTTCCTGGCCCAAACTCTTTATGGCACATAGATGGTCACCACAAGCTTATAAGGTATCAGTGATATTAGTTGATAAACAATGCAACTTTCTATAGATGTCCAAAGAAATGATCACATTAAAGCTTTTTTGTGTTCAAAACTGTCTGACAGGTGGAGATTTGTTGTCCATGGTGGGGTGGACGGATTCAGTCGACTGGTGGTCTACCTGAATGTGGCTGGCAATAACAGGGCTAGCACTGTCCTACAGAGCTTTATCAATGCCGTTCAGCAGTACGGGCTGCCGTCAAGGGTACGGTCTGATAAAGGAAGAGAGAATTCAGACGTAGCAGAATTCATGATCAGGAGCAGAGGTACCAACAGGAACTCTCACATCACAGGCAGAAGTGTACACAATCAGCGGTAGGTCAAATATATCTGTTTGGTGACTACTTGTACACAGTGGTGGACAAAGTACTCAACTCCAGTACTTGAGTCAAAGTATTGATACTCGTGGTCAAATCTTACTCAACTACAAGTAAAAGTTGCTCGGTCAAGATTTTAGTCAAGTTAAAGTACTAAAGTACTTACTTTTAAAAATACTTGAGTATTCAAAAGTATACAAAGTACATTTTCTAATATCAGTGCATTGCTGTATTGTTTTCTCAGTGCTTACACAGAACCTTGTAACTCTCTGAAACCACCTAATGATGTATTGACTTACAAGTCTATAGAAACACCTGTAAAAACTTCAGCGTAAAAATGCAATCAAAAACAATAAGGACAGCTATTGTCATTTAATTTTTTTATTTAAACATCCCCACCCAAAAAAAACAGGAGGGCCTTTTTTTTCTCCCCGTACATTCACTGTGGGGGAGTTGCAAGTTTACTGTTCAGTCCATTACTGCGAACAAACTGCAACTCTGCTTTCATGAACTCATCATCCAGTTGAACCACTTGGCTACATGGCAACATAACCCTTGCCTTAATAAAATCTGTAAACCGCCCTGCATTTTTCCATGTCTGTGGAAAGTGATGGAAATCCCTAAAAGATGGTGCACATTTAGTCTCTTTCCTCAGCTTCTCCTGCCATCTCCATTGCCGAGTTTTGTTTGAATGAAGGCGGGAGAGCTTGCTACACTGAGCGTTGATGACGTATTTCCAAATCCATCCCATGTGTGAGCGGTGACTGTGATTGGTTCCCTTCTATGAGGAGCACAGCGTGAGGCCAATTGCATTTTAGAAAAGAAAAACACCAACAGCTGACTACAAAGCTATGCTGAGCCTAAAAGGAACCAGTAACGACGAGCTTCCTAGAAATGTAGTGGAGTCGAAAGCACAATATTTATCTTGTAGTGGAGTGAAAGTCACAAGTTTCCAAAAAAACAAATACTCAAGTAAATGTACTCCGTTACTGTCCACCACTGCTTGTACAAACCATAGCAGCTCAATGTATTTTAAAGCTTGAGATTATATATTAATTAACAATTTGTCAATTGCATTCTAATTGCAGAATAGAGAGGATGTGGAGAGATGTTTATGAGCATGCCCTAGACCTCTTCTATCAGATCTTCACTTCATTGGAAGATCAGGGAACACTCAATCCAGACAACCAAGTCCATCTTTATGCCCTGCACCGGATCTTCCTTCCCCAAATTCAGAGAACCCTCAGCTCCTTCAGAGATGCTTGGAACTTTCATGGACTTAGAACTGAAAGGAATCAATCACCTAATGAACTCTGGAGAAGATACAGAGAGCAAGCCCCATGGAGGATCCTGCAGAGGTTAAAAAAAAGATAGTAGTTTTACACTATTATTGAAACCTTTTGAAAATATATTCATATTTTGTTGGTCAGGAGATACAGGTGTTTGTCACTGATGTTTAGCAGATTTATTTTTCCTCAAATTTCTTAGAAGAAACATTTCAGACAGATGATAATTGGACCCACTATATTTGAATAAAAGGGTTTCTGTTATCACTTTGTTCTTGTTTTTGAATGAAACATGAGAATCTCTTCTGTCTCCTGAGCTCTGACAGAACAACATCTGAGCAGCAAAGTGCCTAAAACTTAATTTGTCACCAACATAAGGACCAATGATCAATCTCATGAATCTTGTGTGATGACATGTCATAGTAGTTTAAACAATATGTCAATCAAGGTTATCCTCTGTTCAGGTTTATGAAGACTATGGGATCGACTGGAATGGGCCTCACAATCAGCATGGAGACACTGTGTCAGTTCCTGAGATTCAGATGGCCCGTGAGCTCTCAGATGAAGAGGTTGCCATTTTGCCAGTTTCAGGAGTTTCTTTAAATGATGCAATTGGATCATATTTGGAGACAGTGCAAGTTTTGTCAAGAATCATTGGAGACTGATATCTTAAGCAGGCCTTTTATTTTATTTATTGTGCAAATGTCACTCATGAATTAGTTAACTTGATTTGTCAATAAAAATCTGAAATAATAATATGCTGTTTTAATGCAAATAAAACCAATTTTTCTAGCATCAAGAGATATTTCAACAACCTCATGTAGCCAATGACAACAGGCAAGGACAGCAAGGTGATGCACACTGAAGTATCAAACAGTTGACAGAAGAGCAACAACAAAGCAGTGTCATTTTCAGGGAAAGAAAATACTGCACTGTATTTGAAATGTTAGAAAAACACTGAACTCACTTCACTCAAATTGACCTTTTTCTACTGAATAAAAGCACAGCAACATCATTGCCTGAAAATACTTAAACAAGAGCAAATCCAGTGTGTGCACTGTCTATGGCAGCAACAAGTGCTTCCTCAAAGTCTTTGTAGGTGTTGTAATGAGCTGGCAGCTTCAGTGTTTCAAAGCATGTGGAGGATGATGGGAAGGTTCCCCCGGAAAACTCCACTTTGAGTTCTGGAGGGAGCATTTCCCAGCCGACCCAGAACTTCAGCAACTGAGCCAGAGTATCTGATGAAGCTAAAAGGTCATAAAGTGGATTAAGAACACAGTGCACTGTAACTGTTCAAATCCCTATGCATTTCATATATTCTACAGTGTTAAGTGAGATGTTTATGGGACATAGAGACATTGGTAAACATGAAAATAAATTGCAAAATAAGATAGCTATACCTGTTTCAATGAACATCCGTAGAAAACCAGTGATGCGGCACTTGCACTCAATGTCAAGTTCTTCATCATCACTGTCCTCCACAGGCCATGTGATTTTGTCTAGGAACATCTGGAAAAAAAAAGTTTGAAAAGTATTTTGGTGTCTAGGATAATTTATAATTCAGCACTGATGAAAAGGAATATAGATTACAGTCTTGGTAATTGAGAAAATATCCAGCTCAGTAAATTAGACAATAAGATTTGCACACACATTTATTAATATTTTAAGTATTGTTAATAAGTTGGATGTACTAAATCACCTGGGGTACAAACTGCATTCCTGCCATTTTCAGAAAAAGAAGTGGGACAACATCTGGCCTTGATGTCAGCAGGGGCCATAGCATCACATCTTTCAATCCCTTTCTCAACTGTTTAATTTGGCGCATGGTCCTCCCGATGACCTACAAGAAAGGCCAAACCCATATTACTGACCAAATATTAAAATTCTACAAAAGTCAGCACAGTAGAAAGTGTTTATAAAACTCTAATGCAGTGCTTAACAACCCTATAAAACCATTTGTATCATATTTGCTACGCAAGTTTCTGAGACCTCTGTCTTATCAACATGATCAAAACTTTCCTTTAAAACCTGTTGTATATGACCTGATACATGTATTCTGCCCCTAGAGGATTTGCACTCTACTGCAGGCAGTGGAAGGGCTTTTTTTGACCTTTTAAAAAAATGGCCACCATCATGCTAGCATCCACACACTTTCAGCAGGAAAATCTTTGATTTTCAAGAAGTTACAGTAAGAATAACATTTATATTGTTACTCATTCTTTAATAGGAGTATATTCTGTATTAAAACAATGCATCATTACTTAATAATTCATTCTTCATATTACAGTTAAATCGTGTTAAAAATGTGTGTATCACATTTGATACTGCAGGTATATAAGGTGCTTTATCCTTGAACGGTCATTCTAAATTTTTGTAATGTAATCTACATCATGCCTACCAATATACAAACACACACTATTTTAATGATTTAATAAATCTAATTAATGACTGAAATGCCATTTTAAAATACATTTTGGGTATTTTCACAATAACAATTCCTCTGAAATCATAATCGCTACGCTATATTGACCAATTTGTTATGTGTGTATTTTTAGATGTCAAAAAGAATAGAGGAAGAAGTGAGAAAACAAACGTACATTGAAAATGTCATCAACATGATAATGGATGGCAATTCAAGTGACATAGAGCAGTTAGGGAAGATGATGAGGAGGATGAGGAAGAATGGACTCCTCAGGCCATGCATGATGATGGAAGTTCAGATAGCAGTGATGAGGAAGACTATCAAGAGGAAAGTGTAGCCCAGACAAGCACAGACGTTGAGATCCCAACAACAACACAGGACACAATCAGAAAGGAGTCAGTGAAGGCCAATGCACAAAGGAAAGAATACAGATGGAGAAAAATAAATTATCAAGCTCCATCTATCAATTTCATTGCAAGTGTTGAGGAAGGCACAGAAGACAGGTGTGACTGGACACCATACATGTATTTCAAACAGTTTGTCACTGATGAAATGCTAGAGGAAACTGCAGAACAAACAAACCTGTACAGTGTCCAAAAAGAGGGCAAGTCAGTAAACACAACTGCCAAGGAAATAGAGCAGGTTCTAGGCATGTACATTCATATGGGGTTAGTACAGATGTCCTCTGTGAGAGCCTATTGGGAGATGGAGACAAGGCTCCCTGCAGTTTGTCATGTGATGTCTCGAGATCGGTTTCTGAAATTGCTGACAGTGATTCACTTTCAGGACAACCTCAGTGTGTCTGATGATGCAAAGAAAGATAAACTGTGGAAGCTCAGGCCATGGTTACAAAAACTGCGAGAACAGTTTCTCTACATACCTCCTGAAGAAAGCCATGCAGTTGATGAAATCATGGTGCCATTTAAGGGAAAATCTCATCTACGTGTCTACATGCCTGCAAAACCTCACAAATGGGGTTTCAAAATGTGGGGACGTGCTGGACAAAGTGGCTTTCTTTATGACTTTGATATTTGTCAAGGTGCAGAAAATCCAGACAGAGAAAAGTCTGAAGTAGGTGTTACAGGAGAAGTTGTGCTGAAAATGACATCAACACTTCCAGCAGGAAAAAATCACAAGGTCTTTGCAGACAACTACTTCACATCAGTTCCCTGGTGCAACACCTAAAAGAAAGAGGAATCCACTACGTTGGCACGATCCGGATGAACAGGATGAAACACTGCACCATGATGGATGAAAAAGAATTGAAGACAAATGGAAGAGGGTCAATGGACTTCAGAGTGAACCAGGAAAACAACATCGTTGTAAGATGGTACGACAACAAAGCAGTGAACCTGATTTCCTCTTTTGTTGGCACTGAACCTGTGGGAAATGTGAAACGCTGGGATCGCAAATCCAAAACTCACATAATGGTTCCCAGACCAGCCATTGTTGAAACATATAACAAGTTCATGGGAGGTGTTGATCTCCTTGATATGCTGTCTGCACTTTACAAGTTCAGCTTCAGATCCCGAAGATGGTACATGTACATCTGGTGGCACACTGTTACAGTGGCAGTCATCAATGCGTGGAACCTCTACAGAAGAGACCAGAAGAAGCTAAACCCCAAGAAGAAACCCGTGCCTCTGTGAAGGTTTCAGGCTTTGGTTGGCAGGAAAGGCCAAAATCAGGTGTGGCAGACCACTATCCTCTCCAGAAGAGACTCCAACACCACCCCGTAAAAGACCAAGCTGCAGTGTGCCTCTTGATGTGAGAAGGGATGGCATTGATCATTTTCCAACATGGGAAACCCGACAGAGATGCAATCACTGCACTGGCAATCACTTCTCACATGTCTACTGTGAAAAGTGTTATGTTAAAAAAAACAACGAGAAAAGCTTCCTGAAATGTGTGCAAAAAATTGCCAAAAACGCCCGATGTATCAAATGTGCTACAAACAAAATATCATAAACAACATGATATGAGAAAAACATTTGGGGGGATTTTGTTTAAGGGTTTAATAAACATCTCAATTCCAAAAGAATAGAATTTCCTGGTTATTTTTTCATGTGTCAGGCTTTACAGGGTTAAGATGTATTTTTCCCCAATTATATCCTTTCATATTGCAACACCAAACCACTCCCTGCCTAGATTACAAGTTAAAGAGTGTTTAGGTTCTGTAATAATCCTGCCTGCAGTTCCAATTAGTTTGTGATTGAAATACAGATGTCCAAAAGAAATGCAGACGTGATAGAATTGCTTAGCTTGAAACATAATTGATGGATAAATGGGGGATGAGTTCAATTTCAGAAGGAGAATTCACCAAATCAGCAGGAGAAACTCACCGCGTGTACTAGAAGTTTGTTATGTAGCCACCTCTGATTCGTTTTAGTGACTGCTGGGAGATCCCAAGACAGGGAAAGATCTGACACTGTGTCCTTCTGTTCCTGAGTAAGTTCTTCAAGTTCAAGCTACAGTTTGGATCATAAAAGGTATTACACCTGTCCAGGAATTTTGCAAGGCAAAGGTTTTTTTGTTTGTGTGTTACATACCATTGTTATAATACTCCTGATGTGCAGATCAGGACAGTCCTCGACAACAATTGTTGCCATTTCAGGATCCCCATTGAACAGTACATGAATAACAGCAGGACTTAATCCGGTGACATGGGGGCCATCATGCAAAAAGGAGTGGGCTATCATCCTTCCTGCAACCCGGAAGAGGTTGCTCTCAATAAGCACCTCTGATGCAGCTGGAACGAGATGGTCAGGCTCACCTTCAAATAGCAGAGTTTGGCCCACTCCTCCTGTAAGTACCAACAGAGCAGGGCTTCAAATCAAACAATTAACTTTTAAAATGCATGACATTAACCTGAATAGTAGCACATTTACCAAGATTCATTCTGAATCCAAACTGGAGTTTGGATATTATTGTTGTCAGAAAGTACTGCATCACTCCCTGTCCAACAGCAGCATCACCTATAAAACTTTTTTTTTTTAAAGAATACTGTATACTGTTAATAACACACTAGAAACAAGCTGTAACAAGGCTATAGGTGCTTGACAAGTTTTAGGAAGGAAGGACAAACACATGAACTGTTATGCAGACAGCATGAACAGCCAATGCAGATTATCATATAATGATTAATATCAGCCAAATGACCTGATGGGACCAGTAAACCACTAATACCATTCCATATAAGACATAGAATTGATATTAATGTAACAGGATATATTTATATTATGAACTCTATTCTACTAACCATCAAGGGTACAATGAAGTGGACATGCCCATTCCTGTTGCTGTTTATAGAATGAGAGAAGTGCCCGTTCCCTGTCCTCCTCACGCTCCCTTACATCCAGTTTCAGTTTAAGAGGCTTCCCGGTTGCATGTTCACTTAGTAGATTATCTTTGAAAACTTGGGCAGCCAGAGTTGGTTCTTTAATAATCTTCCAGTCTAGACAAGAAGAAAAATAAATGTAACTACTTTGCATGTTAAATGCAGATAAACTCCCAATCAACAGAAAAGGAGGAACACCTGAAAAATGTGACAGAATCCAACAGCCTTTTAATAGATACTAGGAAAGTCCATTTCTACTTGACTTTCATCAGAATGATGCTTATTTGCTGTTTGAAGTCAACCAAGCTTCACTTAGATGTGGAGTCTGTGAACTGTATGAGGAAGTGTTTCTAAGGTTCTATAAAACAGCAGTGATAATGGCATGTCTTCTAGTCGTTATTTATTATGGTTAAAAGGTGTTATTCTTCTATTGACTGAGTTCTAATCATGCACAATATTATAGCATTCCTACTGTGATGACACAAAGCATTGTCAAGTTCTTTAAGATCAATCTTCTCACTTTCAATCACTACTGGTTCTACTTCACTCTCTACAGATGTTTCAGGCCTCACTGGAACGCTGTCCCTGTCAGTGGGTGGCTCTCTATCATTCTCCTCACCACGGTCTCCCTCTCCTTCTCTATGTGTTTCCTGCATGGGGGTCCTTGAAGTTCAGAAAATGTTAGCTTTCCTAAGAACAACAAATCTGTTAAGTATTGATTAAAACTCCACAGTGCAATTTATTTGAACTATGTATCAAATGGTGACAGTGTAAATTTCCATACTGAATCAATGGGTAGGTCCTGTTGAAGTGGGCGTATGTCAATTGTAGCCTGTCCAATTGTTGGAGATGGATCTTTTAGATAGGTAAGGGTGTATCCTGTGCTGGGACATTGAAGAAGTCCAAGATTTCGACTGCGAGTAGATCCTGCAATTTTTAGAAACTCAAAGCCTCCCCCTTCTTGCAGCTTTGGAAACACCTCCATCAGTTTGTTTGTTACAACCATGGGATCGTTGTCATTTCCTGTAAATATACATAATGCACATGAACTCAAATACCAAAAGCTAAGCTGTGATAACAAATACACACCAAGAAAATCACGTCATTAAAGTTTGAGTCTAATATGTAAAATAGGTGAACACAAATGGCGATAAAATGAAATTAAAAATACAACTCCTACTAATGTCAGGACTCAGTGCTTTGTCAAAGTTCTTGTTTCAGACGCACCTGAAAAGATCACCTTTGTTCTCCAAGTCCTGAAGCAAGAAGGTCTGCTTTAAGCTGAATGCTTGGAACTTTATCAGCCTTGTTGTTGTTGTTGTTGTTGTTGTTGTTGTTGTTGTTGTTGTTGTTGTATGGAGCAAACAGCCTTGCTACTTTGGCTGCAACACAGAGAAAATGTTACAGCTCCCATGATCGCCACTCAGCTAAAACATCCTTAAGTCCTGATAAATGTAATAAAGAAAGCAAACAACAACTAAAAAGAAAGAAGTGATAAAAGTCCAACTTCAGGGCTGCTGACATGCTAACACCATTCTGCCGACTAGCTAGCTTCGTTTAGAAGCACATCTGGCTATCCTTACCTACCTTGAACAGGTGTACGTGGTGTAGCGACAGGTATCTGCTGTACCTGTGCTCCGGAGAGCTTTTGGACATCCTGCACTAACACTTTGCACCAATGGTGAGCTGATTGATCCGTCTTCACTTGTATCATCAGCAACTATTTTTTCGGCGACAAATGAAGAGCGTACCGAAACGAATATACGGATGAACACTGTCACCTAACGTATCGGAGTGCATTCACTGCTTCAATCCATTATCTGGGATCGATCTGTCATGACTTGCTTTGCTGAGTAACCAATCAGATGTTAGAAACTTTGACGAGCAGCAGTGACAGATGAAATGATTTCATGATGCACTGCTGGTGTAGGGACCATGAAATGATAAAGTAAATAGTGAAATAATTAAATAAATAGTAAAATAATTAAATGTGGTTTTACATTAAATGAATTAACATTTTAAATAATTAATTAAACATTTCATTAATTAATGATGTGTTTCATAAATTATTTATTTATTTATTACCAATTTTAAATAATTAATGACACATTTAAATAATTATTTAATTATTTAATAACACATGCATTTAATTAATTAATTAATTATATATTTATTTACATATTTGTTGATTTAATTCCAATATTAAATAATTGATGACACATTTAATGATTTAATTAATTATATATTTATATATTTCATTTTGGCACTTTTAGTCCTCCATAGGTGAGCGTCCAACTTCCCTGAATGTTAAACTGTAGTTGCCTTCTATCTTTGGTTTCCCGTCCGGTTAATGAAGTCTGCTTTACTTGTTTAATCGGTGGAATATGCGCACAGACATATCAGCACTTGTTCTGTTTAAACATCAGCAGGTCACTCACTGATAAGTCCCTGTCACTGTAATAACACCTTTGTAATCTGCAGCGGCATTTCTCTTCGTCCCGCCCGTCTTGTATCTCCATACAGCCGATATTATACCATAAATGATATACTATATTACTATATAGGCTACAGCATATGCTATATAGCCTATAGACAGTTTATGGGCCCACTATTGGTCCCCCCCCTCTGCAATGACCCACAGGCTCCGCGCCTGGTTTTAACGTTTACTTTATTGGGAGATTATAACTCAAAATGCTCCCGAACAGGAGACGTTTTCCTCTTTCTCACAGGCTCCATTTCTCCAAAAAAGAGAAGCAAAACTACAACTCCAACAACCAACTAACGCAAACTCACGAGGAGACATGACAAGTGGGTTTCCCTTCAAATCAATGACGTAGACTCGAAGTGAGGCCTCGTTTGTCTCGCGCTTCTCCTAAAATAACACGAGCCTCGATACGGTAGTGATGTGTCGTCATGAACGATTCGTTCAAAACGAACGAATCATCTGGGTGAACCAACTGAACTGAATCACTTACTGAAAAGAGTGTGTGTGTGTGTGTGTGTGTGTGTGTGTGTGTGTGTGTGTGTGTGTGTGTGTGTGTGTGTGTGTGTGTGTGTGTGGTGTGTGTGTGTGTGTGTGTGTGTGTGTGTGTGTGTGCTCCGCCTCCTCTCTCTCTTCTCTCAGTCAGTCAGTGAGTGATTTGTGTTCTGAACATATTGAACAGAACGGTCGGGGAAAATAAATGTGAATGTTTTAGCAGCTTTCAGTTTGCAAACTGGAGCTTTATCAACTAAATTCTCAGCTCATTGGTTTATTATTCACCACCGGCTGTTCTCAGTACGATCGCGAGCAGAACTAAACCGTGTTTCAGTTTATTAAATTCTGATTCACAGACAGAGCTGCAGAGAAGTACTGAACGATTCAGTGAACGAATCTTTTGAACGAATCACTTTACTGAACTGAATCTACTGATTCAGTACACTGAAAAGAACTGCTTTTCACATCACTACGATACGGGGCCTCAGCTAGAAATGTGCCTCCTACTCGACACACGCTTCAAAGCCTCGATGTCAAACGTAACATTACTAATCTGGACTTTTACCGAAACTGAATCCACAAACCGGATAAGAGGTAAAAAAAAGAACAAAGAATACAGATTAAAGGAACTTTGAGTGACAGGGAGTGACTCCCAGCTGTTCGTCTCCTCGTCTTCAGCTTGAGATAAAATGGCGTCCAAGTTAGAGGAAGATCTGAGCTGTCCGGTCTGCCTCGACATCTTTAAAGATCCAGTCATCCTGTCCTGCTGTCACAGCTTCTGTAGAGAGTGTGTGAAGGACTGCTGGAAGGAGAAGGAGAACAAGGAGTGTCCGGTTTGTAAGAGGAGACAGTCAAAGGATTTCTTACCTCTAACTTTACTTTAAAGAACCTGTGTGAGAGTTTTGTGCAGGAGAGAGATCAGAGAGCTTCAGAGGATCTCTGCAGTCTGCACTCTGAGAAACTCAAACTCTTCTGTCTGGACCATCAGGAGCCGGTGTGTCTCGTCTGCAGAGATTCAGAAAAACACTCTGATCACACAATCAGACCCATCGATGAAGCTGCTGGACAACACAAGAAGAAACTTCAGGAAACTCTGGAGCCGGTAAAGAAGAAGTTAAATGTTTTTAAAGAAGTTAAAGTGAAGTTTGATCAAACAGCAGAACACATTCAGGTCCAGGCCCGACACACAGAGAGGCAGATTAAGGAGCAGTTTAAGAAGCTTCACCAGTTTCTAGAAGAGGAAGAGGAGGCCAGGCTGTGTGCACTGAGGGAGGAAGAGGAGCAGAAGAGTCAGAGGATGAAGGAGGAGATGGAGGCTCTGAGCAGAGAGATAGCAGCTCTTTCACACACAGTCAGAGACACAGAGGACGAGCTGAGAGCTGAAGACGTCTCATTCCTGAAAAACTACAAGGCTGCAGTGGAAAGAGTCCAGCAGCGCCCCCTGCTGGAGGATCCACAGCTGCCCTCAGGAGCTCTGATAGACCAGGCCAAACACCTGGGCAACCTGAGCTTCAACATCTGGAACAAGATGAAGGACATGGTCTCCTACAGTCCGGTCATTCTGGACCCAAACACTGCTCATCCAGGCTACATCCTGTCTGAAGATCTGACCTGTGTGACAGAGGAGAGAGACAGCAGCTTCCTGATAATCCAGAGAGGTTTGATTATTACGGCTCTGTCCTGGGCTCTGAGGGCTTTAACTCAGGGACTCACAGCTGGGACGTCCAGGTTGGAGACAGTACATACTGGTTACTGGGTGTGTTAGCAGAGTCTGGACAGAGGAAGGGAGACAAACAGTCTGGATTATGGTTCATATGGTTCTATGATGGTAAATACAGAGCACGCACCCCACCACATCCAGACACTGATCTCTCAGTGAAGAAGAAGCTTCAGAGGATCAGAGTGAATCTGGACTGTAACAGAGGAGAGCTGTCCTTCTCTGATCCTGATACTAACACACACATACACACCTTCACACACACTTTCACTGAGAGGATGTTTCCATTCATTACACTTGATAAACTCCACTGAAGATGTTACCAGAGAAGATCTCTGTGACTGTGTCGTCCTGATGTCTCTGGTTGTCTTTATGACAGAGCTCAGATCTGTTTGGTGTAACTCAGGGACTCACAGCTGGGACACTGTGGGGGGGTAGAGTCTGTCCCTGTTCTCTGAGTGAAGAAGAGGCTGCAGAGGATCACAGTGAGTCTGACACCAACACACACTTTCACTGAGAAACAGTTTGCATGCATCAGAACTGAGAGAAGAACTCCCACTGAGGACTTAACCACTGAATCTCTGTGACTGTAGATTTAAAAAAACATCTTGATGATTAGAATCAAATTTCACTCATTTTTCTTAAGCGATATTTGAACACCTTAACAATCAATGATCCATTAATGATGAATAATTAATGAGCCATAAAAAGCTCGTCTTCTTCTCAGTTTATGTTTTGTTGAAGTTATTTTAAACATGAATTCATTAAATACAATCAGTTTGAAATAATTAAACTACGAGGCTCTCTCTTAAAAACAACGTATTGTCATGATTTGGTCTTATGTAGTTTGTATTTTCAGTTTGTCTCCTAGCTTAGTTTCTAGTGTTTTTATTTTGTATTTCCTATACCTGTGTTTCTTTGTTCTAGTGTGTTTTCTTGGTAATGTTTCATTCTTGAGTTCTGATCTCATTCATCTGGCGAAGG